ACATGTTTTCAAGGCCAGTCTTTTGCCAATTAAGCACATAACATGAGCTCTGAAATGGAAAACTTTGTTCAATGAGATTATATGCAGCAGATTAAAGTTGTCTCATGAGACATGAAAATGAGAGAGACGACCAATTCACATCCAGGAATTACACCAAACATTACTGTACTGATTCTTCCATAGATAGTGAGAGAGACGACCAATTCACATCCAGGAATTACACCAAACATTACTGTACTGATTCTTCCATAGATAGTGCTACTCTTTTGGATGTATAAGTGCTTGTTTGTTGGACCCTTTTGTAGTTGATGAATGGTACATCACCTTTCATTTTTCCAGTCCTTTGCAGAGAGTTGAGCTTCCATATTATTGTTCAACTGCATCTGTTTCTTTATGTATTGGTACTTGTAGTTCACACTAAACGAAACTTTTCATCACTGAACTTTTCATATTTCATTTTATAAGCAAGTGCTACAAAATGTTGTAAAATTACTTGGCTTGTGTAGTTGATATTTATGGCTGCAGACCTCTTGCTCAGTTTCATTTTTTCCTTTTTATCTCTCTTGAATTTGTTAGTTGCTCTTATTCATTGCGCATATGGGTTATGTGCAAATGTCTGTCTGTTCTATGAAATCAAATGAAATTTTTAGGACAAATTTTTGTTTTAGACCTTTTTAGGAATTTATTTCCAAAATTCGACCCATTTCAGATTTTTTTTACAAATTTCGATCAAGTTTCAGCCACTTGGCTGAAATTGGGTTGAAATTTGCGAATAAAGTTGAAAAACTTTACGGGATTTAGAATCCCGTGAAGTTTAGTCCTTAATTAAACTTCACAGGATTCTAAATCTCGTGAAGTTAAACTCCACGTGACTTTAAATCCCGGAGAGTTCAATATAACATGGTCGCCATAGTTGGCCAAGTGGTTAGCTCAAATAAACCTAAACTTCAATCATTCAAGTGGTCCTGAGTTCGAATCTTATCATTGCACATAACTACTTATTTTATGAAATTTATTAAATATAAACTTCACGGGATTTAGTAGAAGTTTACCGCCTGAGCCAAGCTTTTTTGTTAGCGCTAATTAATTAAGGACATAACTTCACGGGATTTTAAATCCCGTGAAGTTTTTCAACTTTATTCGCAAATTCGACCCAATTTCAGCCGCCTGGTTGAAATTGGGTCCAAATTTACAAATAAATCTAAAAGGGATCGATTTTTTTAAAATAAATTCCTAAAAGGGTCTAAAACAAAATTTTGTCTAAAATTTTTAGGTGATTTTGATCTCTTACTACCTGTTTCCATAACAGATAGACATTGAAACTTAGATCTATTCACCATAATTTGAACCAGATCCTTCCTTCCCTAAATAACTGATGTAGGACGCTTAACGGACAATTTTATGGAGGAGTGAGACAATCACGAGCTAAACGCCGACTCATACATATTATTGACTTTCACAAAGAAACAATCATATCTTTCAATTCGGAAGCTCATCAGTAGTACCCATTTTTGGTTGAAATCCGAAAATAACAGCTTTTAGTTTACTTTTGGTAATAAAGTTAAAGTCAATTTAGATTAGAAAATAAATTCAATGCTATAGTCAAATTAGATTAGGAAACAGATTCAATTTTGATTCATGATTTGTTTCCTCTATTATAGGGAGTCTTAATTAGATTAGGAAACAGATTCAATTTTGATTCATGATTTGTTTCCTCTATTATAGGGAGTCTTTTTAGGGTAGGATTTGATAAACAGATTCAATTTTGATTCATGATTTGTTTCCTCTATTATAGGGAGTCTTTTTAGGGTAGGATTTGATATTTTCTTTTTCTTTGTAATTCTAGTCTTACTAGGAGTCTTGTTTGTTTTTCTATTTAAGAAAGTTCATGTAACCCAAAGGAATATTTTCGAATTAAATAAAACTTCTCTTGAAGAAAATTTTGGTGTGTTTTCTTGAGTTTTTGGAAGAAGTCCTTGTGGTAAGGCTTCTTTGTTTTCGCCGCTGCGTCAGTTGGTATCAGAGCGTGGTTCATCTTGCACAATGGCTGAGAACAACAATGATCTCAATATTATAATCGTCCAAACACTCCAATTGATTCAACAACAGATGCAAAAGCAACTAGAACACTCACGGTAACATGAGTTAATGATGGAGGCGCTTCGGAAGTTGCAGATTGGGAATAACCTTAGGCAACGGGCAGTTCCCCCGGCTGGAGGACCTGTTGGAGGCGAGGCTAAACCCACGATCCCCCGACTAGGGTTGGTTTGGATTCAGATTCAGAAGGGGAGGAAGATCTAACTTTCGGTCCAAATAATGACCAGTTTATTGCTCCTGGTTGGTACAATGATCGAATTCCGAAGATCAAGGCTGATCTCCCTTTCTTTAGCGAAAATCTTGATGTGGAGGATTTTCTAGATTGGCTTGCTGAGGTCGAGAAATATTTCGATCTGATGAGAATTGCTGATAATTTACAGGCTAAATACATAGCCTATAAACTACATAGTGGAGCTTCTGCTTGGTGGGAGAAATTTCAAAACAATCGCAGGCGTCAAGGCAAGCAACATGTTCGCACTTGGAGACGTATGAGGGAGGCGCTATATCCACGATTTCTTCCGACGAATTATAATTAAATCCTTTATCAAAAATTTTAGGATTGTAAACAGGAGGATCTGACAGTCTGGCAATATACCCAGGAGTTTTATAGACTATCAGCGCGGAACAACCTGAACGAAACAGATGGACAATAGATTTCTAGGTTCATCGGTGGGCTTCGCACCGTGATCAAGGATCAAGTGCAGTTGATAACCATATATAGCGTGGATGAAGCAATTAATCGTGCTATGAAGGTGGGAGCGCAACTCACCCGTCCCAATAGATATCAGTCCAATTACAAGAGATTTAGTGAGTCGTCACGAGGTCAGAATATAGGGTATAAGCAGACTGAAAATCAGAACACTACTCAAAAGGACGCATATGATAAGACAGACTCAGCAAATTAAGCAAGGGAATCGAGGTTTGCAGAATCAGCAGAATTTCTAGAACCAAACGAGAGGAGTTCAGCCAAATCGACACGTTAATAATCCCTATGCTCGGAGTCATGAGAATAAATGCTATCGTTGTCAACAGACGGGGCACCTATCTAATAATTGTCCTAACCGTGGTAGAGTTAATATGGTTGAAAGGGAGGACAGCGAGGAAGGAGAGCTTGAGACTGTGGTCGAACACCATATGGTCAATCCTGATGATGTGTATGACGAGGACGAGCGCAAGGTGAGTGTAGTGCGCAGAATGATGTTGGCAACTGAAAGGATGGCTGAGGACCCATAAAGGCATAATCTTTTTCGAACTCGTTGCAAGGTGAATTTCCTCAGTGAGTCCAAACGTCAGAACTCTTATGTATATGAGAATAAGTTTATGCCATCAAGGAACTGATTTATGTGATAGTCAAGGAAAACTATGCTATGTAACTTGGGAGTCTTTGAGCGTTTCAATATTCAGGTAAGTGATTTGGGTGGCTCCAAATTGGCCTTCACTGTACACAGGCTTTATAATTTGCAGATCAGGATGGATGGTGTTGGCATTTTAATTTTCACAATTGGGTTAATTGCGGATAGAACCCTTTACTATCACCAGAATTGAGCTAGCTATTCCTAGTTCTATTATTGCAGGTAGTCCCCCGGGCTGAAAATCTATTGTTGCAAATAAACCTCCTGAAAATTGTCAAAAAAATCTCACTTTATCTGAATAAATTCAAGTTCGCCATGGTACAGCCTATCAGCAATTATTTTGCAGAATGCAATGGGAGTTTTCGGTATTATAGTTCCTGCAGAGGGCACTTACATGACCTGTTTTTTTATATATATAAAGTACAGGTTAAATGCATGCTACTAGTATCTATAATTTCCTTATCTACTAGTATATTTTTACATGACCTGTTTTTATATATATATAAAGTACAGGTTAAAAGCTGTTAAACCATCCTATACACTGCACAAGTTGTGGTCCAAAATGTCAAAATATCCTCAAATCCTGTAGACTATCAATTCTTCAGTGGAGAATCCACCTGATAATGTCTCCCTCAGATTGAAACAAACATGGTAAATGATACTTCAACTCTACTACTAAGAAAATGTAGGATGCTTCCTCAAGTCCATGACAAGTAAAGACGCTTTCCATGACCCACCCAACCTATTAAAAGAGACACTTGGTCCAGGGGCGTGACAAAATGGTATAAGAGCAGTTGCCAACCGGAAGTGTGGTGCTAACTACTATGCGATGGGAGCCACCTCTAGTGCCCGTAGAAGCTACCTTTAGACTCCACATCGTCTGGTAGCCTGGGATGTGCTAATTGTCATGCTGCGACGAGGACATCGCCTTTGTAAGGTGGGGTAAAATGTGACATCCCACTGACCCAAAGTTATAGTCCCACATCGGTGAGGGAATAAGATATTTAAATGTTTATATAGTGAAGCTAAAAACTCAAGTGTAACATCGGCTAGTCGATTTTGGTAATGGTTTGAGCCAAATAGCACGTTACACTCGGTGGGTCCCACAGCTCGCACGCGCCAACGGTCCGCGGGCCTCTTTTCTATCTCCCTCATTATTCACCACTGAAATAGGAAGAATTTTCAAAATAGACCCTTCTAAAAACTTATTTTCAAACAACAATCCCTTTTGAAAATATTTGTCATTTTTGACCCAGTTCTAACCAGAGATTTTAAATCGCATGAAGTTTAAGACCTCATTTATGATGCCTTTAACTTCATGTGATTTAAAAATCGTGAAGTTTTTGAAGCTTTTCAACATTTTCTTAAATATTTTTAAAAATAAGTTTTTAAAAAGGTCTGGCCTTAAACATCACCGGCATTTAAAATCTCCTAAATTTTTTGATATTTTTTCATTATTTTCGTAAATATTTTTAAAAAAGATCATTTTTTTAAAATAAATTTATAAAGAGGTTTGTCTTCAAAATTTGTCCGCTGAAATATCTCCCTCACGGTTGTCTTTCCTCTTGTCACTTTCTGCAGTATCTGGCTGAGCAATTCTCAGTGCTTGCTCTCTTCTCATCTGGGTCTTTTTCAGAATTTACAATTATTACCACTAAGCGTATATTCCACATGAGGCCTTTATTGCCTATCTTGAAAGCCATCCTTGTTCATCCTTCAAAGATCCTGATTTTGTTATTTCCAGTACTTTTTTATGAGTACTGGGGCTCAAAGGCTCCTCCTTTACTACTATTTTCTAGCCTGAAGTGATTTCTTATATTGAGGGGTTTAGTATCTTAAAGTTTCCATCTTTGGCGGTTTTCATGTGGGTCTTCTAAATTCAGGTGTAGATTTGAGCTTTATCTGAAAATGGGCCCTTTGCACTTCGTGAATTAAGTTTTTATTTCAATCTTGTAGCTCCTCATTTCTGTTCTTCTTGACCTGCAAGGTGATGGTTTTAGCTGATGCCTGTGATTTTTCCTTTTTTTTTTCTTTTCCTTTCCCCAGAAGTTGACTCCAGCTGGAAATGAAACTTCTCCAATTCGTCACTTAGCAGTATTTGTTCTGGGTTTTTGGAATGAGGCCTCAATTGATGGATTTTCCAAAGCTTGGACTTTTTCTTGTTCTGATATTGGGCTGGAATGATTCCTTCAACTGCGAAAGGCCCGGGGTTGTCAATATTGGAGCTATATTAGCTTATGATTCGGTCATCGGCAGAGTTGCAAAGGCAGCAATTGAAACTGCAGTTCATGATGTCAATTCAGATAAAAATGTTCTTGCTGGGACTCGGTTAAACTTGATTATGATGAACTCTAATTGTAATGCTTTTCTGGGAGCAATTGGAGGTAATGTTCCCTTCAACAGTATTATCATTCTGTTATTGAAGATGATAAGTAAGATGTAAAAATATTTTGGCTTCCATCTGCAATATATACTATTGAGTAGGATTTACAGTGGTACACATTCGTATTCCAAAATAGTAGTAAATGATTTAACTGTCAGACTGGTTTTGTGATATGTCATACTGCTGAAAAGCTTGCGTTATTCTACATATATTAGTTTACTTCTATCTTCTTGCTCACATGTCTTCTTAAGCTTAGATTCCATTATACAATTCTACATATATTAGTTTACTTCTATCTTCTTGCTCACATGTCTTCTTAAGCTTAGATTCCATTATACAAGCCTTTACATCCTTGTACCAAATTCATCTCTTGCTCACATGTCTTCTTAAGCTTAGATTCCATTATACAAGCCTTTACATCCTTGTACCAAATTCATCTGTTTCCATCATTAGGGTATTTATGAGATGGCTATTGTGAAGTGTAAAGTTGCATAAGTGATATAAAATGAAATCTAAGGGGGTTAAAGACTCAAAATGCGGTGAGGAAATCAAATTTCCTCAAGTAGTGGACAAATTTTTACTTGTTCTACTTTCCACTCATTTTAGTTACTAAATTGCACAACAGAAATAAGCGTCGTTTATCACACAACTGACATTGGTAACAAGTCGTCATGCTACTTCTTAATGGTAACCTTTCACAAACTCAGAATATAACTTCTGAATGTGCACAAATTGGAAGGAGTAAACCTTTTTTACGTAATATATTTTTGTTTGTCTCAAGACAATTTTTATATGCGCAGAGTCACAGATAAAACACAAGACATACAAACATGCACACGTACACAATATTTTTATAAATGTTGAATTTTCAGCCTACCATTAAGGTTGTAGGGCTACATAAAAAAGTTCTTGCATTCTAGGAAGGATGAAACCTGTAAATAATAAGACAACAGATACTATCATAAAAAATAAAGAAAAATATCAATTACATTTTAATTTTATCAAAAATTAATAATTCATGATGTATTTTAAATTCCTTGCTTGTTTACACGAATGTCTTAACTATTATAAGTTATTTGTTGTTCCGATCAAAACATTGTTGTTGTTTTGTACATCTGAAGACACTTGTGTATACATATCTTGAATACTTCTTATTGTGCAAATTTTCAGCTCTGAAGATTCTGGATCGAGAAGCAGTTGCAATCGTTGGCCCACAGGTTTCAGCAACAGCCAACATGATTTCTTTTATTTCAAATGGTCTTCAAATTCCTCTAGTGTCCTTTGCAGCCACAGATCCAACCCTCTCTTCCCTTCAATATCCCTTCTTCCTGCGCATGACACCAAGTGACTCCTACCAGATGAAAGCAGTGGCAAATTTAATTCATTACTACAGGTGGAGACAAGTAATTGCAATTTATGTCGATAATGAGTTTGGTAGAAATGGAATAGATTCTTTGGATGATGAACTTGCTAACAGCATGTCGAAGATCTATAAAATTGCTTTACCAATGGAAATTTCTCGTGACAAAATGACAGAAGCTCTGCGTAATTCTAGAGTTATTGGACCTCGGGTTTATGTGGTACATGCTTCACCAGATTCTGGTCTTGACATTTTTTCAGTAGCTGAGCAACTAAATATGATGACCGATGAGTATGTTTGGCTAGTTACAGATTGGTTTTGCACTGCTTTAGGTTCATCAGAATCAAATTTGCTCAACACACTTAATCATCTTCAAGGGATTATAGGTTTTTGTCAATACGTTCCTGTATCTAGCCAAAAAAATGGTTTTATGTCTAAATGGGAAGAATTACACAAAAAAGGCATGGTAACTTCTAAAGTTAATGCATATGGGTTTTATGCATATGACACAGTTTGGGCAGTTGCCCGTGCCATTGATGATTTACTTAGGGACTCTGGAAATGTAACATTTTCTTCTAACGATGAGCTAGTCAACATGAATGGAAAAATTCATTTCGATCAATTCAAATCCTTTGATGACGGGTATCTCTTACTTCAAAAGTTGTTACTTCTGAATTTTACTGGCATAACCGGTCAGATTCAATTTGATAAAAATCGGAACCTCAAAGGTGGCGCATATCAAATAATCAACATTGGTCGAAATATAATTCATACAGTTGGTTACTGGACCAGTCATTTTGGACTGAGCATTTCTCTACCAAATTCTTTACACGAAAATGATGAGAGAAATTTGAGATCAAACCAAGGTCTTGGTAATATTACTTGGCCAGGTGAGAATACGAAACCACCACGAGGTTGGGTGGCTGCCACTAACGAAAAGCCCCTACTCATTTTGGTTCCACATAGAGTGAGTTATGTTGAATTTGCAACTGTTCTAGACAATCACACAGTCACTGGATACTGCATTGATGTATTTGAAGCTGCAATTAAGTTAGTTCCTTATGCAATACCTCATAAGTATGTACCTTTTGGAGATGGTATTACCACTCCAAGTTATTGGACACTCGTAAATATGGTAGCAAACCAGGTAACTTATCACCTAAATTGTGATTTCACACTTGATCTTTTTCTTTTTTATCTTTTTTTTTCGATTATTGCATCATGATACCATGTGGCATGGTGTAATTACACTGGTGACCCTAAGTTTACATATCTACACTGATAACCTTGAGATTACAGATTGAGGTTACACGAGTAACCCAAAGATTGTTTTAGTTAGGCTCACTAATGTAATCTCATTCACTAATGTCAGAGTTATTCGTCTGGATACACTGACCTGAGGGCCACCCGTGTAGTTACACCATACCACGGGGTACCGAGATGAACACCCCTGGTGGTTTCCTTATGTGGTTTTAACGATATATGTTGTAGACCATGGATGCGTGTGTTGGAGACATTACTATAGCCAAGAATAGAACTAAACTTGTGGACTTCACTCAACCTTATGTCACTTCTGGACTTGTCATAGTGGTACCAGTAAAAACTATTAAATCAAGTGCTTGGAGTTTTCTCAGGCCTTTTTCTTTAGACATGTGGTGTGTGATTGGAGCATACTTCTTACTCATCGGGGCTGTTGTTTGGCTACTTGAGCATCGGGTGAACAGCGATTTTAGGGGACCACCCAAGCGACAATGTCGAACTATATTCTTGTAAGCCTTACTGTTTTATTTGAAATGAATGCTGGTTCTGCTTAAAAATATAGGGTCAATATCACAATCATCGTGAGCTATTAGGCGTTTTCTACAAAAATTAAACTATTTTTATTTGAAACAAATACCATAAATGTTCTAATCTGCAAAAACATACCACAACTATCACCAAATTACCTGATTTAAGGCTCATTCAAGTAACTCGGGGAAGATTCTAGAGAATTCACAAACAAAACTTTGCTTCCATATTCCGTAAATTTGCATCAAAATTCGCAAATTTACTAATCACCAAGTTCGTCAATCATTGAAAGTAAGAAATCAAACTTCCAAATTCTCCATTTAGAATGTAGAAATATGTATCTAAAGATATTTGGTATCCCTTTTTTTTTGCTCAACATAGACACGCATGTGCAAATGGAAGAGTTGCTTCTTCGTGACTTGTTACATAAAATTTCCGTAAAATTTAATTTCATTAGAACCTAACTCTCTTAATTTTTCTTCTTCAGGTTTAGTTTCTCATCACTTTTTCACACGCAGCGTAAGTTAAATTACAATACACTATATGTTCTTTTTCATTAATAAGCTACACAGCACATCTTATGCATATTAATTATATATACTTTCTCCACTCTTTTCAGAAGAAAATACCGTGACCTTTCTTGGGCGTTCTGTGATGGTGGTATGGTTCTTTTTGCTGTTGGTGATTACATCTAGCTACACAGCAAGCTTGACGTCGTTCCTTACTATCCAACAACTAGCATCTCCAATAAGTGGAATCGATAGCTTGATTGCCACTAATGAGCCTATCGGTTTTCAGGAATCATCATTTGCTCGAGTCTATATGATAGACGTTCTCAAGATTCGTCCCTCGAGACTTGTTCCTCTTCGAACTCCTGAAGATTATGCTAAAGCACTACGGCTTGGACCCAAGAGAAGTGGAGGGGTGGCGGCAATTGTAGATGAGCCTCCATATGTTGAGATATTTTTACAAAAGTTTAATGGGTTTGGCCTCGTTGGAGAGCCTTTCACAAGGAGGGGATGGGGATTTGTAAGTAGCGGTTTGGCCTCGTTGGAGAGCCTTTCACAAGGAGGGGATGGGGATTTGTAAGTAGCTTACTGAATTCAATTATGCGCACATGCTATTTTACTGGTAGATCGATCTAAAATTTCAAGCAAGTTAAGGCTGAAAGTTTGAACTTTTGGAACTTGCATATAATGACATGATAAAATGTGCATAACTAATGTTTAAAAAATGAGTGTAGCAAAAGTGAGAATGTTATGAATCTATGATGATATTGTGGATGCATGCTAAGAGATAGGATAAGAAACAAAAATTCATTTTAATGAATTAACGAGTGGTTTTATTCGAAACGCCTCGTGATCTTCAACCAATTATGTGCTACAATATAATTACCTGGAGTAAGCGCTATAGCTTGTTTCCAATACTCAGCAGCTTGATCGGACCAAGCCTTGATTATATCACTAAGAAAAGGATAGGTACCCTGATATTGAAGTACAGATCTCAAATGATACTTGTTAAGTAATTGATTTTGTGATAATTTGTAAAAAACATAGGCTTGAGACAAAGAAGATAAGTCACAAGACTTATTAGAAAACGATTTGTGGGGTTTAGAGACTTAATGGTTTCTCCTTTTGAGGATAAATGGAACACAACCGATTGAGATGTGCTTTTTTCTTCCATGTACTACGTAGACCACTAAATACATCAACTAAGACAAGTGAGGGGATTTGATGGGAGTAGGCCTAGGAGAACTACCTTATACTAAAGGAAAAAGTAAATTGCTAATAAAGAGATAAAGTAAATTAAATAATCAGAGGAAGATGCATTGTATACAATAAAAGGTGTTGCTATCTTGCTTATCTCAAATTTTAGTTGGCAGCAGAAGATAAAGATTGCTTATGTTCCTATGTCCATCTTGTGTATTAAATAAAAGATTTAGATCATCCATAGCAATGCCATCTTGAATTATTTATTGCCAAATTATAATTATTTTTCTTAATTATCTTTGCCCTAATATCAATGTCATCTGAAATTTGCTTAACCAGCGGGATTTATTGACAATGATACACAGAGACATTATAAAGCATAATGAACATAGCAGGTAGTTTAACATTGAAATTGCTAACACAAGTCACGAATTCAAATTTAAGCTCTAGAAATTTCAACAAAGACACTGAGAAAAGGTCTTCTTTGTTAAAATGTCCTCTTTAATCTTAGCAGATAATCTACAAGAGTGGTTGGTAGGCTAGGCCCCTTTTATTTTCTTGATATCTTGTCAAATTTATTTGCGCGCATAACAAATACTTTTCATCTTTATGCAACTACAACAGGTGTTTCCAAGAGGCTCTCCTCTTGCAATTGACTTGTCAAGTGCTATATTGAAGCTTTTTGAGAATGGGGAACTTCAGATGATTCACGATCGATGGTTGTGCAAGAACAATTGCACTCCTAAACCAGCAAAAAGTTCTGATCCTTATCGGCTTGAGCTACACGGCTTTTGGGGATTATTTCTTGTTTGTGGGGTTGTATCTTTTGGAGCTCTTCTCATTTTTCTTCTAAGGGTAATTCGGCAGTTTATTCGCTTCAAAAGCAAGCAGAGAGACCCTGCAGATTCAAGCAAGGGCTGTTCTCACATTATATATAGCTTCTTTGACTTTCTAGATGAGAAAGAAGAGGCAATAAAGAAGATGTTTAAGCAGCAGAACAATACCTCTCAGCCCGAGGTTAGTTGATAAATTATACTATTTGTTTCAGCTGGTGCATATTTCCACAATTTGTGATTATTTCCTTTTTCAGAGAGAATTGTTTAGAAGTTACGGTGTCTTATATGTATGTATTCTTGAGATCCCCTAACTGGTAATATTAGCATGTAATTTGATGCGACGCTGTTTCATGTTGTACATGTTGTACAGGATGTTTGTGGTTTTCTATAGTAATACGTACTTATTTTGTAGAATGCAATTACCTATTTTTTTAGTCCTTATTGTTGACAAGCATGCATGGTTGTATGGAAGTGTTTGGATTCTTCTTTAATTGCCAAGGTTCAACGCATATCAAAGGCATAACATAGTAAATGTGTTTCCCTGCTTGTTCTTCTTATTCATTAACTTCTCTATACGCATATCAAAGGCATAACATAGTAAATGTGTTTCCCTGCTTGTTCTTCTTATTCATTAACTTCTCTATACTTGATTGTCCACAATGATTTAGTGTCTCTGTTTCCCTGCTTGTTCTTCTTATTCATTAACTTCTCTATACTTGATTGTCCACAATGATTTAGTGTCTCTTAAATGTTGCCGATCACGGCCTATGACTAACTTCAACAAGGTTTTAAATATCGGCCGATAAATCGATATTATCGGCGATTTTTCGGTTTTGGGGCCTTCCGTTATGATTAGTTCAAATTTTAATTGGTTATCATTTTGGGGTAAATACTGGCGATAAAGCTGCGATAAGCTGATAAATCGGCTGAGTTTAGCGGTAAAAAGTATTGGAATTATCCCTAACCTCTCTAGAATCATTGGAATTATCCCTAACCTCTCTGCGATAAGCTATAGTATTAATTTGTATTTATTGAGAGATCTCAAGTTTGAGATCTGCTCTTGCTTTGTAATTTCTTGTTGGTTAATAAGAAATCTACTGTGTGGCTCCCGAGGACGTAGGTAGTTGCCGAACCTCGTAAAAACTTGATGTACTTTTCTCTATACTGCGTTTCTGCTGTCTTAGGGGTTTCGAGGTAAATTCCCAACATTCTGTTTCTTCTCAGAGCAATCAGGCAAATTTATTCGATTCAACAAGCAGCATAGACATCCTGTGGAAGTTTCAAGCACAGGCTGCTGTTCGCATGCCGTGTACAGGTTTTTCGACTTCATCGGCGAGAAAGAAGAAGCAATCAAGAACATGCTTAAGCAGCCGCAGAACGACCCTATTACTGTCAGCAATTTGTAGGTACATAAATCAGTTTACAGTGGCATCGTACTTAAAATTCCAAACGTCAGAACTCTTATGTATATAAGAATAAGTTTATGCCATCAAGGAACTGATTTATGTGATAGTCAAGGAAAACTGTGCTATGTAACTTGGGAGTCTTTGAGCGTTTCAATATTCAGATTAAGTGATTTGGGTGGCTCCAAATTGGCCTTCACTGTACACAGACTTTATAATTTGCAGATCAGGATGGATGGTGTTGCCGTGTTGGCATTTTAATTTTCACAATTGGGTTGAATGCGGATAGAACCCCTTACTATCACCAGAATTGAGCTAGCTATTCCTAGTTCTATTATTGCATGTAGTCCCCCGGGCTGAAAATCTATTGTTGCAAATAAACCTCCTGAAAATTGTCAAAAAAATCTCACTTATCTGAATAAATTCAACTTCGCCATGGTACAGCCTATCGGCAATTATTTTGCAGATTACAACGGGAGTTTTCGGTATTATAGTTCATGCAGAGGGTGCTTACATGACCTGTTTTATATATATATATATATATAAAGTACAGGTTAAATGCATGTTACCAGTATCTATAATTTCCTTATCTACTAGTATATTTTTACATGACCTGTTTTTATATATATATAAAGTACAGGTTAAAAGCTGTTAAACCATCCTATACACTGCACAAGTTGTGGTCCAAAATGTCAAAATATCATCAAATCCTTTAGACTATCAATTCTTCAGTGGAGAATCCACCTGATAATGTCTCCCTCAGATTGAAACAAACATGGTAAATGATGCTTCAACTCTACTACTAAGAAAATGTAGGATGCTTCCTCAAGTCCATGACAAGTAAAGACGCTTTCCATGACCCACCCAACATATTAAAAGTGACACATGGGCCCGGGGTGTGACAAAATGGTATAAGAGCAGTTGCCAACCGGAAGTGTGGAGCTAACAACTATGCGATGCTAAGTGCTACACTGTGTGATGGGAGCCACCTCTAGAGCCCGTAGGAGCTACCTCTAGAGTCCACATCGTCTGGTAGCCTGGGATGTGCTAATTGTCATGCCGCGACGAGGACATCGCCTTTGTAAGGTGGGGTAAAACGTGACATCCCACCGACCCAAAGTTATAGTCCACATCAGTGAGAGATTAAGATATTTAAATGTTTATATAGTGAAGCTAAAGATTCAAGTGTAACATCAGCTAGTCGATTTTGGTAGTGGTTTGAGCCAAATAGCACGTTACACTCGGTGGGTCCCACAGCTCGCACGCGCCAACGGGTCCGCGGGCCTCTTTTCTATCTCCCTCATTATTCACCACTGAAATAGGAAGAATTTTCAAAATAGACCCTTCTAAAAACTTATTTTCAAAAACAATCCCTTTTGAAAATATTTGTCATTTTCGACCCAGTTCTAACCAGAGATTTTAAATCGCATGAAGTTTAAGACCTCATTTATGATGCCTTAAACTTCATGTGATTTAAAAATCTTGAAGTTTTTGATGCTTTTTAACATTTTCTTAAATATTTTTAAAAATAAGTTTTTAAAAAGGTCTGGCCTTAAACATCACCGGCATTTAAAATCTCCTAAATTTTTTGATATTTTTTCATTATTTTCGTAAATATTTTTAAAAAAGATCATTTTTTTAAAATCTCCTAAATTTTTTGATATTTTTTCATTATTTTCGTAAATATTTTTAAAAAAGATCATTTTTTTAAAACAAATTTATAAAGATTTTTGTCTTCAAAATTTGTCCGCTGAAATATCTCCCTCACGGTTGTCTTTCCTCTTGTCACTTTCTGCGGTATCTGGCTGAGCAATTCTCAGTGCTTGCTCTCTTCTCATCTGGGTCTTTTTCAGAATTTACAATTATTACCACTAAGCGTATATTCCACATGAGGCCTTTATTGCCTATCTTGAAAGCCATCCTTGTTCATCCTTCAAAGATCCTGATTTTGTTATTTCCAGTACTTTTTTATGAGTACTGGGGCTCAAAGGCTCCTCCTTTACTACTATTTTCTAGCCTGAAGTGATTTCTTATATTGAGGGGTTTAGTATCTTAAAGTTTCCATCTTTGGCGGTTTTCATGTGGGTCTTCTAAATTCAGGTGTAGATTTGAGCTTTATCTGAAAATGGGCCCTTTGCACTTCGTGAATTAAGTTTTTATTTCAATCTTGTAGCTCCTCATTTCTGTTCTTCTTGACCTGCAAGGTGATGGTTTTAGCTGATGCCTGTGATTTTTCCTTTTTTTTTTCTTTTCCTTTCCCCAGAAGTTGACTCCAGCTGGAAATGAAACTTCTCCAATTCGTCACTTAGCAGTATTTGTTCTGGGTTTTTGGAATGAGGCCTCAATTGATGGATTTTCCAAAGCTTGGACTTTTTCTTGTTCTGATATTGGGCTGGAATGATTCCTTCAACTGCGAAAGGCCCGGGGTTGTCAATATTGGAGCTATATTAGCTTATGATTCGGTCATCGGCAGAGTTGCAAAGGCAGCAATTGAAACTGCAGTTCATGATGTCAATTCAGATAAAAATGTTCTTGCTGGGACTCGGTTAAACTTGATTATGATGAACTCTAATTGTAATGCTTTTCTGGGAGCAATTGGAGGTAATGTTCCCTTCAACAGTATTATCATTCTGTTATTGAAGATGATAAGTAAGATGTAAAAATATTTTGGCTTCCATCTGCAATATATACTATTGAGTAGGATTTACAGTGGTACACATTCATATTCCAAAATAGTAGTAAACGATTTAACTGTCAGACTGGTTTTGTGATATGTCATACTCCTGAAAAGCTTGCGTAATTCTACATATATTAGTTTACTTCTATCTTCTTGCTCACATGTCTTCTTAAGCTTAGATTCCATTATACAAGCCTTTACATCCTTGTACCAAATTCATCCGTTTCCATCATTAGCGTATTTATGAGATGGCTAATGTGAAGTGTAAAGTTGCATAAGTGATATAAAATGAAATCTAAGGGGTTTAAAGACTCAAAATGCGGCGAGGAAATCAAATTTCCTCAAGATCTCATGTAGTGGACCAATTTTTACTTGTTCTACTTTCCACTCATTTTAGTTACTAAATTGCACAACAGAAATAAGCGTCGTTTATCACACAACTGACATTGGTAACAAGTCGTCATGCTACTTCTTAATGGTAACCTTTCACAAACTCAGAATATAACTTCTGAATGTGCACAAATTGGAAGGAGTAAACCTTTTTTACGTAATATATTTTTGTTTCAGAATATAACTTCTGAATGTGCACAAATTGGAAGGAGTAAACCTTTTTTACGTAATATATTTTTGTTTATCTCAAGACAATTTTTATATGCGCAGAGTCGCAGATAAAACGCAAGACATACAAACATGCACACGTACACAATATTTTTATAAATATTGAATTTTCAGCCTACCATTAAGGTTGTAGGGCTACATAAAAAAGTTCTTGCATTTTAGGAAGGCTGAAACCTGTAAAATAAGACAACAGATACTATCATAAAAAATAAAGAAAATATCAATTACATTTTAATTTTATCAAAAATTAATAATTCATGATGTATTTTAAATTCCTTGCTTGTTTACATGAATGTCTTAACTATTATAAGTCATTTGTTGTTCCGATCAAAACGTTGTTGTTGTTTTGTACATCTGAAGACACTTGTGTATACATATCTTGAATACTTCTTATTGTGCAAATTTCAGCTCTGAAGATTCTGGATCGAGAAGCAGTTGCAATCGTTGGCCCACAGGTTTCAACAACAGCCCACATGATTTCTTTTATTTCAAATGGTCTTCAAATTCCTCTAGTGTCCTTTGCAGCCACAGATCCAACCCTCTCTTCCCTTCAATATCCCTTCTTCCTCCGCATGACACCAAGTGACTCCTACCAGATGAAAGCAGTGGCAAATTTAATTCATTACTACGGGTGGAGACAAGTAATTGCAATTTATGTCGATAATGAGTTTGGTAGAAATGGAATAGATTATTTGGATGATGAACTTGCTAAC